ATCACTTCCTTCTCTGCATTCCCTTACATATATTGTCTAAACCTCTGTTATGGTATTTATTTCATCTATACATCTTTCTCTACCTCTGAGTTATAAGCTTATTCTTATGTGGACAGCCTCTTAATTTTGGGTGTTGGGCTGGGGATTTAGCTCAGTGGTTTCGCCGCCTGCTGCACAAGCGCAAGGACCCGAGTTCGATCCCCAGTACCAAAAAAAAAAAAAAAATTGAAATTTTGGATGTCATATAGCAACTGGCACTGTGCGTTACAACATGGGAGCTCAATGAATATCTGCCCAATAGACCTTACCCGAAGCAGAACTGATAGGACTTGAAAGCAGGTAGTCTCACTCTGACTTCTGTGCTGTTAATCACTACACTATTTTAATGATGGCTCATGGATATGTTGATTAATGAGTGGTAGAATTTTTAAATTTTATTTATTTTGATTTATTACTTTATTTTTTTATTTTAATTGAGAATCTAGTGAAGCTTTTGCTAAATGCTACACTTTGGGGCAATTAGTTTCCGGCAGTATCCAGGGTGTGACAGAAGGAGAGGGAATCAATAGAGTGGGTCCAGTAAGAAGGCTTTCACTGGACATGGTGACACACGCCTGGAATCCCAGCACTCTGGGAGGCTGAAGCAGGAGGATTGCATATTAGAGGCCAGTCTAGGCAATTTAGCAAGACTTCATCTCAAAAGAAAAAAAAAAGTAGAGGATATAGCTCAGTGTAAAACCCCTGGTTCAATCTGCAGTACTGAAGGAGGAGGAGGAAGAGGAGGAGGAGAAGAAGAAATGGAGGAGGACAATTTTCATCGTAGTTTAAATGAGAAGAAAAGGCTCTGAACCGGAGCAAGGCAGAGGAATGTAAAGGAAGAGATAGATTGGGAGGCGGTGGTCACACAATCAGTGAGAATTCTTTTTTTTTTTTTTTTTGGTACTGGGGATTGAACTCGGGACCTTGCGTTTTCAAGGCAGGTGGAGGAACCACTGAGCTAAATCCCCGGCCTGAGAATTCTTCATGAGGAGAGTGAAGAACAATAAGTTGAGGGCATCCCTAAGTTTTTGATAGAGCAGTGGGAAAGAAGAAAACGGTTGTTTTTTGTGGAAATAGGGCATGAGGAGTGTAAATATTGGAGGGTGGATTCAGGAACGGTAAATGGGAAAATAAGTATCCTGTGGAGAAAATTCTTTAATTTACTCCTGTAACCAGTCCCAGAACTCTAGAAATATTCACTGACATGGGTCTTCATTTTCACTGTCCTGTTTATTTCTGACCTGATCCTCACAGATGCTTAAATTCATTTCCTCTTCTATTCTGAGGGTAGATAAAAATGTTACAGTGTCACTCTTTTTTTTTTTTTGGTTTTTTGAGACAGGGTCTTGCTATGTAGTTCAGACTGGCCTTGAACTCACTATGTAGCCCAGGCTGGCCTCAAACTCACAATCCTTCTGCCTCAGCCTCTCAAGTGCTGGGATCATAGGTGTGTGCTACCATGCCTGGCTGGTGTCATCGTTCTTATAGGAACTTTTGCAGAATGAAAACTTCTACACCATATCTCTTACGTATCAGTTGCCTGTTAGAAGTTGTTTGGATTTATGAAGAGATTAGATTATAAAAAGAATATTAAGGTCTCTGAGTTCTCTGATTTTTTTAAATTTTATTTTTATTAGTACACGATCACTAGATTGATCGGTTGATAGGTAGATAGGACAGGCAGACAGACAGATCTGGGGATGTAGATCAACAGGAAGGCCTTGGGTTTAATGCTCAGTACTAAGGAAAAAGAAAGAGGAGGAAAAAAAAAATTTTTTTTTAATGTGAGAACATTTCCCTGAAGGTAAAGGATCCAGCATGGTACTAACTCAAAGGATATCATTAATGATGTTTCAGAACACTTGAAGATGCTAAAAGTTCCAGAAAGGAGACAGAGAAGCAGATCACATACTAAGCACGAGGAATCAGAATGGCAACAGTAGAAGGTAGACAATGGAGCAGTCCCTTTAAATTCAGAAAGGGGCTGAGATTTGGCTCAGTGGTTTCACCACCTGCTGTGCAAGCGCAAGGACCCGAGTTTGATCCTCAGTACCAAAAATAAATAAATACATAAATACATAAATTCAGAAAGAACATTCTTCTCATCTTAGAAGTCTATGCCTAGCCTAAATCTCAGACGCAAAGGTAAAATAAAGACATTTTATAATATGTAAGATCTTACAAAGTTTACCTACAAAGCATCCTTTTCCAGTAACTTAATGGAAGATACTTCTCTGAAACAAGAGTAAACCAGCCATGAGGAAGGCTGAAGATCCAGGTTAAGTCAGGTAGAGACAACCTCAGGTGGACCAGGAGTGGTCCCACAATGTCAGCTACTCAGCAGCTCCAAGAGCAAACAGCTAGAAGATAGAGATATGAAGTGGATATGTTTCGAGGGAAGAACAAAGGGGTTACCTTGACAGAAAAACCGGAAGTGAAGAAAAAGGGCACCCCCCCCTCACCTCCATACTTGGAATTGAATCCAGGGCCTTGGTAATAAGCTACAACCCTAGCCATTTTTTATTTTGAGACAGGGTCTTGCTAAATCCCTAGGTTAGTCAGGTGGGTTCAAACTTGAGATGCTCCTGCCTCAGCCTCCCAGAGTGCTGGGATTATAGGTATTTATACTTTTAAGGAATATCTGAATCGTCAATGTTTATCACTTTTTCTTTCTTTTTTTTAAGAAAGGAAATATGCTCCTGCAGTGGGGCCCCTCCAGTAGAGATGCTTAACCTTTAAGTAATGACAGTATAATTTTTCTTTTGTTCAGAACCTGGAAAGAGCTTTTGTTAGGAAATCTTTAAATCCTCTAACCAACTGTCCTTCATAATTTTAGGCTTATAATTCCTCATTGTAGAAAAAGAGCTCTGGAGGAATGTCTTTAGCAAGGAGTGCCTGAACCCTCTCGTAGAAGATAACTACTCCTGCGCTTCAGTATCAGGCCTGCCATAAACGTAGAGCAAAAGAAGGCTTCTTCTGGATTTCTAGCCTGCAGCAGTATTTTTTTTGCAAAAGCCCGTCTATAAAAAGAGAGCTTTCTTCGGTCCAGAACCTTAATTACCAATAATTAATCTCAGATGAAAGACTCGATGTTACAGGCTTCCTGTGCCTTTGACCTAAGAGAACTTGCTGTGAATGGATTGTTTGTTTGCTTGCCAAAGATCTTATCTTGACCGAGAAGAGCTGATAGGATCATAAAATCAGCACTGGTCTCTCCTCAGCATCCTTTCTTTACAGAACGGGAGAGATGATGGTCCAGCACGAAAGGAAGGTTTAATATATGTCATGGTGGGAGGGTGTCATTTAATAATGACTATATTTCATAGTAATAAAATTTCAATAACTCGGTAGTACATCCTAATCCCCATACTTCCTTTGCTCTTTCTCAATATATTTGGATAAATCACTACAGAACAAGCAAGTCAAATGTCCAAACCACCCACTTTCCTATTCCCAGCACATGAATTAGAAGGAGGCCACAGAAATCCGGGCCAGGCACTTAGAGGACTTGTATGTCTAGTTTTTGTTCTGTGATCTGAAACTCAAAATAAACTGAAAAAGAAAAATTTTCCAAATACCAGCTAATTCACGGAGAAAACATCTCCAGCCTCTTTAGTTCTTGCACACATGCAAAGCTGATAAACAAATCTACTCTGAATAGATACAAGGATTTAGAGATTATTTCCTGTGAGTGCACACAGATACTTATATGTAGCAGGCTTACTGATCTCTGGTGTTCAATTTTAGATACTTAAACTGGAGTAAAAGCTGAAGAACTTTTTAGGGAAGGATTTGAAATGCACAGCTTCTGAAGAAAGCTTCTAGGAGACAGAATCTGGGCTTAGAAAATATCATGATGGTGCTGGGTGTGGTGACATAAGCCTGTAGTCCCAGCACTCCAGAGGCTGAGGCAGGAGGATCGCCACAAGTTGGAGGTCAGCCTGGGCTACATAGTGAGTTCAAGGCCAACCTGAACTATGTAATGAGACCCTGTCTCAAAAGTGAGAGAGAGAGAGAGAGAGAGAGAGAGAGAGGGAGGGAGGGAGGGAGGGAGAGAAAATTGTGTGATCAAATAGAAACATGTGAATAGCAAACAAGTACAGAAAAAGAAGAAAGTGGTAGCCCTAGCAGAAGATGCTGTTTGGCTTAGATGTTAGGAATAAACTTCTGACTGTGAAGCTTGTCAACTCCAAAAATTGAACAGCCAAGGGAAGGCAGGAGAGCCCAAACCAGAATGAAGTGGAGGCTATAGTAGATTCACTTCATGCATCAGATAGAGGTGTTTATGGGTACAGATGTTGAACGGCAGTCTCTCTTTGATTCCACAAATCTGAATTCCAAGAAATTGGCAGAGAAACGAAGCCATTCCACAGGAATCTGGCACCTCTCCTGCAGCACCCTGAATTTGGTTCATTTGCCAGAAGAGGAGCATGCCCTGTTTTGAAGCAGCACCGTGTGTCCCGGGTGGGTGAGTCGTGTGAGAAGGGGAGCGATGAGAAAGGATGGGTTTGGAGGCTCCAGAAAAGAGAAACCCCTTCCTGGCCCTTGTTACCAGACAACATTTACAAAGGTGGTGGGGAAGACGCATGAGGACCACATCTAAAAATGAGCAAAACTAGGGCAATTATGAGAGGAGAGGTTGTTTATAGAGAGAGGAAATTGGCTTGTATAATTAGACGGATCCAAAAGTTACCTTGTCTTTATAATACACCTTTCTATTAAGGAAACATAACATCCTCTCTTGCCAGATAAAGACAGAGTCTCTTCGTTTTAGAAATGAGCATCACCAAATTACAAGGAGGCCCAAGCCACCCTTCGAATTACTGGTAAATCCAGGACTGATCCCCAGGCTTTCTCCTTTCAGAAGAATGGTATCCAGCCATTCTTCCATCGGTATGAGAAACTTACTTCTCGCCTTGGCTTCTGTTTTAACTGTGGACTTCATCTCTCCTTTCCTGCAGCTGGGATGAAAGCAGTTCTATCAGCAGCGGGCTCAGTGATGCCTCGGACAACCTCAGCTCGGAAGAGTTCAATGCCAGCTCCTCACTCAACTCCCTCCCGACTACACCCACTGCTTCTCGCAGGAACTCTACAATAGTGGTGCGTGACTTTGCAAACACGGCCCCCCAGCTCAAGATGAACCACAGGCCGAACCAGGCAGTGCACCCGCTGGTTCCCATCAGCCTTTGGCCAGGTTCTTTCAGAGCTAAAAGAAAAAAGCTAAGGCATCCAAGCAGTCACACAAGACAGCAGATGTTGTCACAGTGTCTGTATTTTTTACTCACACCCATCTGGGGTGATACATGTAAGATCTGCTCCAGTTGGAGAAGAAGCAGCCCAAATGATGCCGGCTCCCTGGAACCCAAGGGTTACAGGTAGACACCCTGGTTGGACTTCACACTCTGGGATGAGCAAGGCCACCTTCTAATGAAAATAAATCCCATCACCTGTCCATGCTGCCTTCCCCACATCGTGTCTCACTCTGCCTTTTTCTCTTCTCTTTAGCTACGCACAGACTCAGAGAAGCGCTCCCTGGCAGAAAGTGGGCTGAGCTGGTTTAGTGAATCAGAGGAGAAGGCCCCCAAAAAACTGGAGTACGACAGTGGTAGCCTGAAGATGGAGCCTGGGACTTCAAAGTGGCGGAGGGAGCGGCCAGAGAGCTGTGATGACTCATCCAAGGTTGGGGAACTGAAAAAGCCCATCAGCCTGGGGCACCCTGGTTCCCTGAAGAAGGGCAAGACCCCCCCGGTGGCTGTCACTTCCCCTATCACTCACACAGCCCAGAGCGCCCTCAAAGTCGCAGGTGAGTCTGGACCAAAGGCAGGGGCAAAAGCCTGGTTGTTCATCTTGAAAGACCACTTTTTTTTTTTTTTTGGTACCGAGGATCGAACTCGGGTCCTTGCACTTCCGCAGCAGGCGGAGAAACCGCTGAGCTAAATCCCCAGCCCATGGTTCATCTTAATGGTCATTTACCCACAAGAGGATAGCAGAGATGTGCATAATGCTTTGACATACATTCTCTTCTCTGGTCCTCGAGGCATCTTCTGAGTTAGGAAGAGTGGCTATCACCATCTCCATTCCACAAATGTGGGAGCAGACCCAAAGTGGTAAGTGGCAGGTCTAAAATCACACCACTGATAAGAGGTAGAGGAGGGAGAGAATATGTTATGGTCAGAGACAAGTTTGACCTCACCACAAACACTTCCCATTAGTTTCTTTCTTCTCCCAAAATGTTTAGTCTGTGTCCTTATTTTCACAAGACACTTGCCTGCCATCCTAGGTGAGGGCCTAGGAAAATAATAAATCAAGTGGTGACAGCAAGATTGTAGTCCTCCCAAAGTTGGCCCCTTGGTCACTTTAGCCTTAATCAACATTTTCCTCTCATCTCTTATTACCAATAGACATTGCCTCACTGTATTTGATCCCTTCCCCTCCTTTCTTTTCTTGCCTGGACCAGTTATTTGATGCATCTCCTTCTTGATCATCTTTGTGGTTGCTTCTGCCATCTTAACCAAAATAAGCCATCCTATGATGGGAGCAGAAAGTAGCAAAAACACAAAACAAGAAAAAACCTACCTCCCTACCTCTCCCACCCAGAAGCCCTCTGGCAAGAAACTTCATCAGCTTATTCAGTACCTGGTTACCATATTTAGGCCTCTCAAATTCTATAATACATTGACAATGTTCCCTTCTTCCACAGAGAGAAAGAAAAAGATTTTTTAAGATACTGATCAAGCCTGTAATCCCAGCACTCCGGGAGGCTGAGGCAGGAGGATGTCAAATTTAAACCCAGCCTGGAAACTTAATGAGACCATGCCCCAAAATCTAAAAATTACATACAAAGGGCTGGAGATGTATCTCAGTACAAAGACCCTGAATTCAATCCCCAGTACCACCAAAAAAATAAAAATAAAAAAATACTTGTCAGTGCCAGCTGTTCTTACCTCATTTTCTGCCCTCTCAAAGGTAAACCTGAAGGCAAAGCAACAGACAAGGGCAAGCTTGCGGTGAAGAATACGGGGCTACAGCGCTCCTCTTCCGATGCTGGCCGGGATCGTCTGAGTGATGCTAAAAAGCCCCCCTCGGGCATTGCTCGCCCCTCCACTTCGGGATCCTTTGGCTACAAGAAGCCTCCTCCTGCCACAGGCACAGCCACCGTCATGCAGACTGGTGGCTCAGCCACTCTCAGCAAGATCCAGAAGTCCTCAGGCATCCCTGTAAAGCCCGTAAATGGACGCAAGACTAGCTTAGATGTGTCCAACAGTGCAGAACCTGGATTCCTGGCTCCTGGAGCCCGGTCCAACATCCAGTACCGCAGCCTGCCCCGGCCAGCCAAGTCCAGTTCTATGAGTGTGACTGGTGGGCGGGGTGGACCTCGCCCTGTGAGCAGCAGCATTGACCCCAGTCTCCTCAGCACCAAGCAAGCAAGCCTTACACCCTCCAGACTGAAGGAGCCTTCCAAGGTTGCCAGTGGGCGGACCACACCGGCCCCTGTCAATCAGACAGACAGGGAAAAGGAAAAGGCCAAAGCCAAGGCAGTGGCCTTGGACTCAGACAACATCTCCTTGAAGAGCATTGGGTCCCCGGAAAGTACTCCCAAGAACCAAGCAAGCCACCCCCCAGCCACCAAGCTAGCAGAGCTGCCGCCAACCCCTCTCAGGTACCCAGAACGAGCACTTTCCTCCCTGTCTGCCTGCTCTGCCATTATTTTGCCTATCCTTACCCTCCTTAGACTAAGTGTAGCATGTCCTATCTACTTCCTCTCAGGCCTTTGCATGATCTTTTGCCTCACCTTCTTGATAGGCCAAGTATCTTTCAAAACTGTATTCAAGTCAGGAGCAGTGGTACACACCTGTAATCCCACTACTCGGGAGGCTGAGGCAGGAGGTTCAAAAGTTCAAGGCCATGCTTGGCAACCTAACAATACACTGCCTCAAAATAAAAAAAGCGCCAATTAGGTAGGATGTAGCTTGGTGGTACAGTGCCTGCCTAGCAAGAGTGAGGCTTTGGGTTCAATCCCTAGCACTAGGATGGAAAAGGAAAAGAAATAGAAAACTACATTCCAAACTTGATTTACTTCTGCTATTCCCTGATCCGCACTTAACCTGTCTCTAATTCTTGTATAAGTGATTTTATTGTGTTTCTTTACACACAAATACCCTTTTGTAGATAAATTGACTTGTGATTCCCACATGAGTATACCATCTCCTTTTAAGACTGAAGGTGTTGGGGCCGGGGATTTAGCTCAGTGGTTCTGCCACGTGCCTTGCAGGCGCAAGGTCCTGAGTTCAATCCCTAGTACCAAAAAAAAAAAAAAAGACTGAAGGTGTCCTAAGTTTAGGTGCCTGATTTCCTTCCGTTGATTTCTCAGCACCATTAGGCTGAGCCCCTACTTACTTTACTTTCCAGAAAGGAAACTAGAGGAAGACTGCCTCTTGCTCTGTAATTCTGTTTTCCTAAATATTTTACTTTATCTTCACTTCTCTCAGGGCTACAGCTAAGAGCTTTGTCAAGCCGCCCTCACTAGCCAATCTAGACAAGGTCAACTCCAACAGCCTGGATCTACCATCGTCCAGTGACACCCACACTGCAAAGGTCCCAGATCTGCATGCCACAAGCTCAGCAACTGGGGGCCCTCTCCCTACTTGCTTCACCCCCAGTCCGGCACCCATCCTCAATATTAACTCAGCCAGCTTCTCCCAGGGCCTGGAGCTAATGAGCGGTTTCAGTGTCCCAAAGGAAACCCGAATGTACCCCAAACTCTCAGGCCTGCACAGGAGCATGGAGTCCCTACAGATGACAATTAGCCTGCCCAGTACCTTTCCCAGCACTTCTCCCATCCCTACCCCACCTGCTGCTCCTGCTGTGCCCCCAGAGGAAGAAACAGAAGAGCTGAGCTGGAGCGGAAGCCCCAGGGCTGGACAGTTGGACAGGTAGGTGGATGGAGACAGGGCTGGGCCTGAGCCAGTGCTCCTGCCTTGACCTCATTTGGCCATTAGCAATACCAGCCTATGTGTGATTGCCACTTGTGACTTGAAGAATTTTTTCACATTTTAAGTAATTTCGTTTGCTTCACAACAATTCCATGATATAGATTGTTTTTTTATTCCCTTGATGTAAATGAGGAAAACTGTGCACAAAAAGTTAACTTATCCAAGATCTCATAATTAGTTTACCTGTCATCCAAAGCTCTTTTGCTTTCTAATCCAAAATCATTTGTTATATCACATCCTGCTTCTCACCCATCATAGTATCATCTTTGAATAGCCAACTATACCTTAATTCCCAATCAGAGAAAACATTTAACATTTCAGACGAAGTTCCCAAGTTGTAAGCAAGAACTTGGCTGTGACTGGCTTCTTATTTTGTGCGTGGAGATAAAGGGTCTCATGGTTTGCTGTCCCATGTCACAGTGTGCATCCCTCAGGCCTGTGGTCCCAAGCTTTTGTTTCTAAGCTGGACTTACAAGCTTCTCTTTATTCATCTCCACAGTAATCAGCGGGATCGGAACACCCTTCCCAAGAAGGGGCTCAGGTAACCCTTAAATGTGCTTTTTCTTTCCTGTACTGGGGCTTCTGGTCCATATGAAAAATCCTTACTTGATTTGTCCCAGGCCCCACACATGAACTCAGTATGAGCACCATATAGTCATTTGCATATGGTTGTGTACAAATGCCACCAGTGCCCTGCCCAAGCCTGCCATCATGTGATCCAGCTCTTACAGCGAGTCTTTGGTGTGACAGGGGACAAATGAGTTTGTGTGTGAGAATCATGCACTGGCCTGTACTGGCCTGGGCTGTCCCAATCCAGGCTGAACTTCTCTCTGGAATCTCTTCCCGCACAGTGTGCCTCTGACACTCCTCGGCAGAACAAGGGGCAGGCACACCTGGTCTTCCACTGTTAGGGCGACTCTGAGTCGTTCAGTTGGGAGGGGACCTCTGTGACCTGAAAGCCCACACCTGGAACCATAGTGCTCTACCTGAGCAGCAGGGAAAAAGTTTTGATGCCTCCTCCATCATTTCCACCCCCGACTGGGAGCTCTCTTGAGAGTGCCTGCTAGTCCTTTAGCACCATCCCAAGAGACTTCGGAGGAGGCAGCCCTGACTGCTCCCCCTTTTCCGTGCCCCAATTCATCCTGAGCCCAGCCTAGCTGGGATATCCCCATGTCAAGCCTCATGCGGCCCTCTGTAGTGGCCCAGGCTGAGTCCTGCTGCCTCCTACAGGTACCAGCTTCAGTCCCAGGAGGAGACCAAGGAGAGACGGCACTCCCACACCATCGGCGGGCTGCCCGAATCCGACGACCAGGCAGAGCTGCCTTCCCCCCCTGCCCTCTCCGTGTCCCTGAGTGCAAAGGGCCAGCTTACCAACATAGGTCAGTGTTTCTGGTTGCTCGCTGTGGCATGGGACGAAGCAGGGATCTCCCTGCAGGGCGAAGCACGGCAGCTGCCCATGGGGTTCCATCTCATATTTGACTTGTGCTATCTGGTTGCTTCTTAGTGGCTCAGTTTATCCACCCAAAACAAGATTAAAGGCAAGGTGTTCCAAGATCCTAAATTGAAAAGTTGCCCCTGGGTACAAGTCCCTAGACTATCAGAGAGTCTGAAAGATGCCCTGGAAAAGCCATGAAGCTCGGAGACCAAACCAGTGCCTGGGCTGCCTGGCGGGTGAGAGGGCAGCACTAGCATGTGGGGCTGTTGGGGACGAAGCAGGGAAGGGTTACTGACTGAGCAGAATGGGAACCGCCTCCAAACCCAGAAAAGTCCAGTTCTCAACTGCTCTGGCTGGGCCAGGCCCACCCTAGCCCTGAAGGCAGAGCTGACTAAAACCTGGCCTGGCTACACCCTTTCTAAACCCTCAGAGAAGAGAAAGCTGGGATAGAAGGAAGTGGTTCAGTGACCCAGAGATGGAGAGGAGACAAAACCTCAGGGTTGGGCCTGGCCCTGGTACAGAAGCACACACTCTGGCTCTGGGAAGTGCTGCGCCAGGCGTGGCCTCATGGGAACCCCTTTGGGGCAGCATCCGCCTGTTGTTTGCTTCCTGCTTCTAAACCCATCTCTTTCAGCTGAGTGAAAGAAAGCAGTTAATCTAAAACAAGGACTTGTGACGCACCTATACAGTGACTGTGGGGAATCAGGAAAGATGGGAGTCAGGATCAGTTTTTCCTAGGGGGGTCATCTGGCCTGGGAAGGGCTATTTAATGGAGGATCGGGCTGGCTTCTTTTCCATCTCCACTGAGGACCAAACGAGAGGAAAGGCATTTGTGCTGCAGAACAAGGGACTGAGCTAACCAGTAATCACCTTGCAGACTCAAAGGGGCCACAGGAGAGGTGTGAGACCTTCTGCACAGGTCTTTGTGGACAGAGGAGACATCCACCTGCCCATGTGGAGGCAAAAGCGTAGACTAGGGAGCTCCATGAGGGGGTGAATCCTAAAAGGCTATAATCCCAGCAAGGGAGAAAGGGGGAAGTTCTGCAGTCAGCAGGACTCAGCAGATCCCACAGCCTTACCTGACGAGTCTGCCCACTCTCTCTGTCTGACCTTCAAGCCAGGGGAATGCTGGGCAGAGAGGGCACTCTAGAGCTGGCCTAAAGTGGCTTAGATTGGTACCACTTTGGGGGAGACTGTCACTCCCTCGCATGATGCGGAGCCAGTTGGGTCCCACAGCCTGGCCCCCTTCTCTAGTTGGTTCCTTGTCATCATCTGGATCTGATCTTGGGGTGAGCGCTCAGCCCTCCTGGTTTGCCAGCTGTGTCCTAGAGAACCACCACATCCATTTTCATCAGCACATCCCAGCGATGTGAAGGTTTCGGGAGCGCTGCCAGGCCCTCAGCCTAACCTTCAAAAGCACCACCTTCGAAGCAGGCAGGGCCAAAGGAAGGTTCTCATTCCAGACAGCAGGGTCCTTTGCCATTAGGGCTCGGCCTCCCCAGGAAGGACCCCACTCCTAACCACCAGCTGCTTGCACACTCCCACTCCCCCACCTGCCCCTTCCTCTCCTGCCCTCTCCCGTTGCCTCTCATGCTCCTGGTGCTCCGTCCCCCAAGGGACCAGAGAGCTGATAACCCTGCCTCTTCTCCTGCCTCCCCCTCCCTCTCCTGTCCCCTTCCCTCTGTCCTTCCAGTGAGTCCCACTGCGGCCACCACGCCAAGAATCACTCGCTCCAACAGCATCCCCACCCACGAGGCGGCCTTCGAGCTGTACAGCGGCTCCCAAATGGGGAGCACCCTGTCCCTGGCCGAGAGACCCAAGGGAATGATTCGGTCAGGATCCTTCCGAGACCCCACGGACGATGGTGAGACTTCATGCCAGCGCGGTTCACGCTCATTCCAGCTCTGCTGGGTCCCCTCACCCACCACCACCTCCACTGCCACCACTGCCGCCACCACACACACATATATGATTCACAGGACATTGACTTGGGCCATTTCCGTTCTTTCTTCCCATACCTTTGAAGGGTCTGGGGGCCCAGAAACCTTGGGTGGCGCCATCTAGCACTGGGGCTTTGGGATGAAGCACCTCATGGGGCTGGGGGAGGGAACTCCAGAGTGGAAATGGTGCCCTGAGGGTGCTCTGAAAACCAGTTTCTGTCCTCCTCCTTCTAACAGTAGTCTTTCTTCCCCACAGTCTCTCAGTTTTAGAAAAAACATAGGGACATGATGGTAGCTCTTAAATCCTCACAAGCATTAGGCATCTCATTCCTCTTTCTAGAATGTTCCAAAGATTAGCTTCAGGGAGGGCCATCTGAGTGTCAGTGGTGGTGACTGGGTGGGAGAGCGGGCCTTGTGGGTTGTGAGGCCTGCCTTTGTTAGGGGGCATTCCTGGCAGGTGTATTTTAGTTCTTGCAGTAGGTTCTGTGGAGTAATTAGAATGAGTATTCCCCACTCACATACTTTTTTCATCTGAGTGACCCCCAGGCAAGTCCCCCAAAAGGAGGCACAGACAGATTTGCAATATTTGTTTGGAGTACCTCTGACAAGAAACTCCCCACTCCTGCAGCTTAAAGTACTTTCCTGACTGGGAAGATGAGATGCTGACTGCCCATAAAAACCTCGCTCCCTCTTGCAGAAGCCCTGTGCCCCTTGGAGCAGGCTGAGCAGAGGCCACCATGCCCAGGCTGCCAGAGAAAGTAGATGAGAGGGAGGCCATCTCTCCTCAGCACCGTGGCTCCTCGGAATCCTGCCTGCTTTGGGCTGCTGGGATCCAGCTGGGTTCCCTGTTCTGCTTTTTTCTGTCTGCTCCAGATGCCCTTCAGAATCAGAATCCAAACTCCTGCTTTAGGGCTCCTTCAGGAACCCCTTGTCCCTGAAGCCCCTCCTAACCGTTCCTGTTCTCTTTCCCTTTCAGTTCATGGCTCCGTGCTGTCCCTGGCCTCCAGTGCCTCCTCCACGTACTCCTCAGTAAGAGCATTGCCTTCCCTCCCCCTCCTCTTCTGTCCCCCACCATCCCTGCCCCTGGAGCCTCCTTTGGTTGGGTAACTGGCTAGGCCTGGGCTTCCGCTCTCTGTGTTACCCCCGTGGATCTGTGGTGGGAAGAAGATGCCTAGAGCTTGCAGCACTCATTTGGGTGCCTCTGGTCCTGAGGGGTCTTTCTGCCCTCACTGCCAACTTCCCCTCCTTTGAAAAATGAGAATCCCCTTGTTATAGAGCCCTCTCTGTACCATGGTAAGTGGGAAGCATTTATAGCAAGTTTCTACGACTCTAAATCTTTACTTCTTCAGGGTGCTAGCAGTAAGGGTTGCTTTTCAGACCAACCAAAGTTTTATTTCCTAGCCTTCTCTACAATGACAAAGTTGGCTGGTGATAAGCACTAGAGAAATTGTTTTTTAAAATTTATTTTTTATTTTGAGACAGAATCTTGCTAATTTGCTAAGTTGCCCAGGCTGGGCTTGAACTTGTGATTCTCCTGCCTTCGCCTCCCTAAGTGCTGGGATTACAGGCACGCACCACACATCTTTTATTAAAACCCTAATGTAGGTCTGAGCTGAGGCCTGTAAGGAGCGGGGCCAGGAACTGAGCTTTACCTTCTCTGCACGTTGACTCACGCTTCTTCAAGTCTGCCCTGCCACTGGGGCCTGGCTTCTTTCCTTCCATAGTAACACCTCCTTTCTCTCTCTCTCTTGTGCTCCCTTCTTCAGGCTGAGGAGAGGATGCAATCTGAGGTAGGGTCCAAAGCCTTTGTCTCTGCTTGTTAACACCACGGCACCCTGTCTTCCAGCTCTTCTACTTCTTCAGCTGTTGGTAGTTTGTCTTTCTCTTCCTTCCACAGCAAATCCGGAAGCTTCGTAGGGAACTGGAATCGTCCCAGGAAAAAGTGGCCACGCTGACATCTCAGCTTTCTGCCAATGTGAGTACCTGAAGCGGGAAAAGACCAGGGCACTTACTGTGACCATAATTAGATAAATTCAGCCAAGGGAGGAAGATTATGCCCTGGCCTCAGATGCCAAAGGAGTGGGTCTTTACAACTCTCCCATGACAGAGGATTTGTGGATTGTCCTTCACTTTCTGAGCCTCCGTTTTCACAGTGGACCATTTTGCCCCTACCCAGTGGACAGGGCTGGTGGCTGTGGTCTTTGACCTTCCTAGAGAGAGAAGAGGTTTACCAGGGGCTCTGCAGGGAGGCCGAAACAACCTTGCCATCTACTGGACAAAAATAACTGGATTTAATTATATAGTCCTCAGGATCCTTTCTCATTGTCCCAGGGTGGGTTTGTGTCTTTGTTCACGCCACATGACTGGGCAGGCACAGAAGTAGTCATTAGTGGCCTGGTGTCCACTTCGAAGCCTCACTGCCATTCTAGCCAAATCTTTCCTTCACAGCTGCCTGCCTGATGCTCTGAGCTTTTGGTTGGGAGCCAGTGTTTTTTGTTTCCACCCGCAGCCTGCCTTCAGTTCATCCATTCAGAAGGAATCTTTCTTTAGGCCTTAGTTTTTCTACCCTGGGAGATGGGAAGAAAGGAAGCCACCTCATCTAACCAGGTTGTGGTAGTTTCTCCCCTGTGACCGAGTTGCACACAGAACATAAGAGCCATTTTCCCCCAAAGCTGTAAACAACAGCTGAGCCGGATCTGCAGGAGCTTTCCAAGTGTTTGCACAAAAGTAACCATGTCTGCAATTTCCGCAGTAGTTTCTGGTTTTTTCTCTTCCCTTCCTCTCTGGGGAAGCCAGCTGTCAGGCTTGGGGGTCTATTCCTTGGAATCAGGTAGAATCGCCACCAAGATTGTGCATGTTTCCAATATATTTCAGCAGCAGCTCCCTCAGCACATTGGTTATTATCTTTTCTTTTTCCCCAACCTTCAGTTCATAAGCTGTATACTTACTGCTTCGTTTAAAGCTCATGCTAAACGCTTCTCCCCACTCTTGGGGACCCATACAAATTGCAACCTGAACAGACCCATCTTTTCTCTCCCTTGTGCCATATCCACCAAGGCCAGTGGCCTGGGTCACGTCCTACACACCCCCAGGAAATTCATGTCTGGGAGATGCTGGGGGAGAGGCGCCAGGGAGGCAGAGAGCATTATTATGTCTGATTCGTTTACACTGCAATCTGTCAGCCATCGTGCTGTCAAGACTGGGCTAGGGCCAAGAAAATGACTTTAGAGAGTGATTTTTCTTAGAACAGGAAGTTCCATTCTACTAAAAGAGAACAAACTAAACACCCAGACATGGTTCCTTCTCAGTCTAGAAGCAGATTTTAGCTGAGGGTCAGAGCCCTGCCCTCAAGCAAGAGATGTGATGCCAGGACCCTGGGAAGGTCCCGAGCTCTTTTCAGGTTCCCCTGGTGCTGAACCAGACTTGTTACATGGTACTTCCAGGCTACTGAAGCTGAGGACACAGCCTGCACCAGGAAGACGCCGGCTGCTCCCCTTTCCCAAGCCAGCCTCTCTGTACAGCGTGACTCCTTCACCTTGAAGCTCTACAGGCACCCTGGGACTATGGGAAGAATCAGAGTAGGGGAAGGGAATGTAGGAGAAGAGGAGTAGGAAAGCCTAGGCACCCAGATGAGAGAGGCTAGCACAGAAAAGCACACAGGAGCCCAGGGGTTCTTGGGGCTCGTGAGTAGAATCCCCAAAACTACAAGCTGCCTGCCTACAGCCACACTAGGATGTAGAGACGACCTGATATTAGGAAGACAGAAGGTGAAAGAAAGCTGCTTATGTTATGACATGTGTCTGCCAAGGAACAGAGGCCTCAGTAGATTTATAGTGAAAGTGGAAGGAAAGGCTCCCTGGGATGGAAGGGATTGCTTCCAGCTATGTTCCAGTGAAAGTCGACTGCTGCATGTTTCAGGGGCACTGAGTGACAGGTAGAGTTGACCCACCAGGGAGGGAGAATTACAAGCCAATAAGAAGCAGTGAGAGTATCATAGATTCCCTAGAGTGCCTCACGAAGGGCCAGCCCAGACTATGTCCATCAATTTTTGCTAAGGTGACCAACTTGCTCACAGATGGCTATTTCTCCACCCTTGAGTGTTCCCCTTGCAGGTTCCATGCCTTATTCTCTCTGTCCTTTCTATACATCCTGCCGCCAGTTTGCCAGCTAGAGTTCAAACCAGCTCCACGTGGCCTAAAACCACCCCCAGCCCCTCTGCCCAGCCTGCCTCTGTCCTGCGCCGCTCACGAAGCAGCCCTGACACCTAGTGGCCAGCCTGTGGAATGCCCCTGAGGCGTCTCGCTACTTCCCTCCAACCCTACGAAGTGGAGCCTGGGGGTGGGTGGGGGGAAAAAAAAACCAGGAACAAGGATAGCTCCAAAGCAAAGATGAGTTAAAAATGGAGAGCTAGGGCCAGGGATTTAGCTCAGTGGTTCCAACGCCTGCCTCGCAAGCGCAAGGTCCCGAGTTCGATCCCCGGTACCAAAAGAAAAAAATGGAGAGCTACCCTGGGTGCAGAGGTACAGGAGATGCAGCAGACAGAGTCTCCTGGGAGCTTATCTGGGGCCAGCCCCTCCACAGTAAAGGACAAGCCTGCTCCCCACATATCGCACTAGGGGCTGTCCTACCTCTAGTAGATGACTGGTACCAGATCTCAGATCTCCAAGAGCTTCCAAGAGCCTGCTTTCTTCATTACTTAAGAAGCCGATTTCTAGCAGAAAAATCTTGATTCCACCTTGATTCCCTTGTCTGCTCAGGGAAAATGGTATTTTTTTTTTGGTACCGGGAATCAAACTCAGGTCCTTGCACTTGCACAGCAGACGACGAAACCACTGAGCTAAATCCCTCACCCCGGGAAAATGGTATTTTAAAACCACCACAAGATGTGTTCTCCTTGCTCAGCTCTGAAACATAGAAAATCAGTTAAAGCTGCTTCCCACATCAGTCACCTTCTTTCCCCTGGCCTCTCACAGCTTAAGATCCTCCTTATGTGTTTGCTCCAGGCTAATCTAGTGGCTGCTTTTGAGCAGAGCCTGGTGAACATGACATCTCGCCTGCGACACCTGGCTGAGACTGCCGAGGAGAAGGTGAGAGCTGGAGAAGGGGATCGAGACACAGCCCAGCGCTGCCCTGCCCCCAGCCTGCCAATGCCAGTCCCATCTGCCTGGCTGTCATCTGGATTCTCAGCCTCCCCCTCAATGCAGTGTCACCATATTCCCTGCCCCAGTTCCCTCCTTTGTCTATTGAGTCTGGGAGAATCTCAGGGCTTAGCCTGTGGCCTGGCAAATTGTAGGTGCTGCTACTTATCCCAGCAAATGACCCTGCTTTCATTTCACTCTTAGGACACTGAGCTGCTGGATTTGCGGGAAACCATAGACTTTCTGAAGAAAAAGAACTCGGAGGCTCAGGCAGTCATTCAGGGAGCCCTGAATGCCTCAGAAACCACACCCAAAGGTAAGACAGACAGCCGCAGATTGTAGGAGAACAAGGGAAAGTGAAAGGAAAATTACTGCAGATTTTCATCTGGACCTACAATGTGCCAGCTCGAGGGACAGATTTCTGGAAGGTGAGGGCCCTTAGACGCCCTCCAGTGTGAGGCCTGGACAGCCCAGTGATTTGTGCCAGGGGTGTGGCTCCACCATGCCTGGCATGGGAGCAAGTGAGGAAACCTGTCTTCCTCTCAGGTCATCTCCTTATCCTTTGTTGTTTTTTTTGGTACCAGAGATCGAACTTGGGTCTTTGCGCTTATGAGGCAGGGGGCAGAACCACTGAGCTAAATCTGCGCCCCCCCCCCTTATCTTTTAGATCAGAGGCAAAGAGCTGTCAAAGGCAGTCATTAAAATAGCGCTTCTTAGGGCCGGGGATTTAGCTCAGTGGTTTCGCTGCCTGCTGCGCAAGCTCAAGGACCTGAGTTCGATCCCGGTACCAAAAAAAAACCCACCTCCGGTGGGGCCCTTGGAGCAGCTTATCTCAAAATAAAACTTAAAAAGAAAGGGCTATTTTGCAGATGGGAAGGGAACCAAGACATGGTGGGGGAGAGAAGTAAAAAGAATGAAGATGTGTTGTGTGCATGCTCCGCTCCCCACAAAGAATGTAATCATTATGTACTACAAACGTGTACTAATAAACAAAATAAAATAAAAAGGGCTGGGGATGTGGCTCAGTGTGAAGGCTCTGGATTAAATTCCCAGTACCAGAGAGAGAGAGAGAGAGAGAGAGAGAGAGAGAGAGAGAGAGAGAGGAGAAGGAAGAAAGGAAGGAAATGAACATCTTCAAGCAAGAACTCCGTGGACTGTTCCTTCCTCCATCAGTTACATTATCTGATCATTATTTATTCTCTCTCACCTTGTTGGAAAGAACTATCCCATCTGACCAAAAAGAATCCCTTATCTAATGCTTTGGGTGTTCCATCTAACAGCTGAACTCCCCCACATAGGCGCTCTCCTTTCTTCCTCTGACCTCTTAATCTCTTTGTTTGTTTATTTGTTTTTTGAGACAGTCTTGCTATGTAGTTCAGGCTGGCCTTGAACTCACTGTGTAGTCTATGCTGGCCTTGATCTTGCTTCGATCCTCCTGTCTCAGCCTCCCAGTGCTGGAATCACAGGTGTGTGCACCTACACCTGGCTCTGACCTCTTAACCTCTGTTCCTTTTCTGCTTACAGATCTTCTAAAGCCTCTCATGCCCTAGAGAGGAAGAAAGACCTGTCAACCAATGTCCTTTCTAACTATGATTTCCTCTTTTTCCTTCCTGCATAGTCAACCTTCCCTTTCCACTACGCCATTGAAATTACACTTCTATCGCCATCACCCTACTAAAACCCCTTTCACTGAAGTCACCAGCAACCCCCTTTTCTCTTGTCTTTTTTTTGTGTTTTGTTTTGTTTGAGACAGTCTTGCTATGTAGCCCAGGCTGGCCTCAGACTTGGTGGCAACCTTCCTGCTTCAACCTCCCAAGTTCTGGGATTACAGACGTGCGCCACCATGCCCAACCCAACCCCCTTTTTTCCAAAATCTAAATTATAATATTAAGTACTTATTTTTCTTGATTTCTGTAAAGTGGAGAGAATGCCACCTAACCAGAAATGTGTTGTATTAAATCAAACAATGTATATTAACATCCACCACAGAGCCAGGCATAATAAATACTGCTCAAAAACTACTGCTCCTGAACACGTTGCTCACTCACACATTGCTGATCCCCAGATCTCCAAGATTTGGCCCTGTTAACATTTCTTTTCCTCATTAAATTCTTCTCCTAGCTTCTGAGTCACATTCCCATTCTCTAATTCCTTCATGGAACCCCCTCAAGTACTGGCATCTGAAAGGCCCAGCCACACCCTTTTTCCATGTGACTCTACCCTACACTTTCCTGCTGTCACATCTATTCTGTACTTCTTTTTGTACAGCACTTTTTCTTTTTTTTTTCTTTTTTTGGTACTGGGGATCAAACTCGGGTCCTTGCGCTTGAGCAGCAGGCGGCAAAACCACTGAGCTAAATCCTTGGCCCTTACTTTTTTTTTTTTTAAGATAAGATCTAACCCTGTAGCCCAGGCTGGCCCAATCCTCCTACCTCAGTTCTATAGTTTCTATAACTTTTTATTTTTTGTTTTAAATTGAGATATTAACATATGATAAAAATTCACCCCTGTAAAGCATATCATTTAATTATTTTTAGCATATTCAGAAGATGGTGCGGGGGCTTTATGTAGCTTAATCGTAGAGCTCTTGCCTAGCATGGCTGAAGCCCTGGGTTCCATCCAGAGCACCTAACCACCACCACCACCACCACCAAAAAAGGTTATATAGTCGTCACCGCTAATTCCAAAACATTTTCATTGCCTTAAAAAGACACCCCAACCCCGTTAGTAGTCACTCACCAATTTCCCTCCCTCTCATTTCCTGCCCACCACTAATCTTTTCTGTCTCTGAGTTTGCCTATTCTGGACATTTAATATAAAAGGAATCCTATGATGTATGCTCTTTTGTGGTTGGTTCCTTTCACTCAGTAAAATGTTTCCAAGATTCATCCATGTAGTATCATGTGTCAGTACATCATTTCTTATTTCTGACTAATACTCCCCTGTTTATAGATATAGTGTTTCCCCCAAAATTAGACCTAGCTAGAAAATAATCAGCCTTGAAAATAGAGATCAAAAATGCTGGCCCCAGTCAGCCTGTCCTTGCTTCTCTCCCCATCACTGCTCTCTTGCTCAATGGCTACTCTGTAAGGCAGATAAGGCGAGGGTATTTCCAACAATATCCAATCCATTTTGCCATTTGTCTCAGCGATATTTTGCGACTTTCATAATAAAAGTCTTTCATTTCTTTTGCTAAACTTATTTTTATGCTAGTATAAGTACAATTGTTTCCTTAATTTCCCTTTTAAGTCATTCAGTTACTAGTGTATAGAAATACAAGCCAAAAATGATAACATACACCTATAATTCCAGCTACTGGGAGGCTGAGGCAGGAGGATGGTAAATTTGCGTCCACTCTGGCCAACTCAGTGAGACCCTGTCTCAAAAAAATACAAAGGGCTCGGGATGCAATTCAGGGGTGGGATGGTTGCTTAGTGTGCACAAACCTTGGGTTCAATCCCCGGTGCCACAAAGAAAATAAAATGCAATTGATTTTTGTTTGTTTGTTTGTTGATCTTGTATCCTACAAACTTGCTGGGCTCATTTAGCTCAGCATTTTTACAACTCCTGCCTAATCTGCATTTCTATCCAGCTCAGTCTCTTAAGCTCCTCCATACACTTTTGGACATCTCCTCTTAGTTGACCTCACAGGTCTCTCTTAATTTAGCATTTGCAAAGTTGAAAGTCACCCTCTCTACCCCATTTCCCAATACTCAAGCCAGCCCTTTCCCTTCTGCAACCTTGCTCATCATCTCAGGTATATTCTCACCTACCTGGTCACCTAGGCCACGAACAGGAGTTATCCTTGACTCCTTACTGCTTCATCCTGTGCAGTAAGTTAGTTCTCATTCCCATATGCATCTCAGTTACATTCCTTCTTTCTTCTTCGGGGTTAGTGCAGTCATTCCCTAACTGGTCTTGCCTTGCTCCAGGCTTTCCTTTACACTGGCTCCAGAGCAATTCACTTATATCAGTCAGGACCAGAAAGCAGTCCCATTTTAATATGAATTAACTATTAGGCAAAAAGATATCGCTGTTAGTGTGTGTGTATACATGTGTGTATGTGTGTGTGATGTGCTGAAATGACATTGCAAGGGATGTGCTTCTTAGAAGATGCATCCCGAAGGGCTTAGTGGTAAAATGTCATGTTGTCTGCAACATATTTTATATCTTTTGAGAAAGTGTTTGGGGTAGAGAGAGAAAGAAAATACAATAAAATGTTTAAAATTTTTCAGTTAGGTAGAGGGCATAAGTGGTGTTTGCTGTACTGTGCAAGCCCTTTAAGCATACACTCGTCCTCTCCCCGGACTAGGCAGGTCTTTCTAGCCTCACCTCCCATTCCTTCTCCTGTATGCTCTATTCCACCTATACTAATAGGAGCACTAGCCATATGGGCAGCACTTCTCTAAGCATTTTACATATATTAATTCATTTATTCCAGATAAAAACCCAATGAAGTATATTTTATAAATGAGGAAAATAAGATCAGAGAAAATAATTTACTGAAACACAGCTTATATGTGAAGGATCTGGGATATTCTGCTATTGCTAATTTCATAAATACACTTTGCTCTTCAGATATATGTTTGCTAAATGAATGAATCATGACCTTTTTTGCTGTGAGTTTTTATGTTATCCTCAGTTCTTGTTGATCCAGGATCAATTTGATCAGGACAAGGCTAGGAGCTTTCAAAGAGCTAATGTTTATTAAGCAGTGATGCCTAGCTTTATTATTATTTGTAAATAGATAAGAAATTTACATGGCACAAAATTCAGAATGCACAAAAGATTTTCTAACTTTTTAAGTATTAATAATTCTACAGCATATCTTTTGCTTTCAAAAACACTTTTTACGGGTTTGCTTATTTATTTATTTTGTGGTATTGGGGCTTGTACCCAAGCTTTTGCACTGAATTATATCCTAAGATTTTTTTTTTTATGAGATAGAGTCTTTTTTTTTTCCATTAAGTTTATTGGTACATTTTAGGTATATAATACAGTTACATTCATCACTGGGATCTTGTACCTTTACATGATGTACCTTGGTTCTTATTTTTTTCCCCTTCCCCTGCCCTTTCTTCACCCCCTCCACC